GATAATTTGTCTATTTACTTTCTCTAGTTTTCACGATGTCTTGTTCAAGGGCTTGACTTCACGTCTCAGTTTAATATGCAAACGGAACGCAGAAGACTTCTTTCAACGCTGTTTGGCTCTTGCTACGATGACATACACAAGTAAGCTCACCTCCTTTTTCTAACAACGACAACAACCCGCGGATCCAGGATTTTTTTTTAGGAGGGGGTGCACTCGTCTCCTGCTCTACTTCAACACCAATAAACCACATAGTGTTTTTTTTTTTTTTGCAGAATACCAGTTGTATTAGAAAACCGCAGGTCATCTCGGGGAGGGGGGTTCGCACCCCCTGCACCCTGTACATTGCAGTTTGTAAGGTCCGTTAACAGGATGACAATGAGGACTGGTTGGGCTGTGATCGCTGTGGACAATTCTTCCATGCCAGCTGTCTGGGAGTGGACTTTGCCAGCACACTGTGTCAAACTTTTTATTGCATTTCATCATAGCTTTCAGTCTGTAGCCTTCAACTTTTGCATAACCCAGTTCGAGTTAGTCTAAGCAAACCACTTGCAACAATGTACGAAAAACGAATCCAATGTTCTGACTGCGATCTATTTTCCGAATTACCTCTGGTTCTTTTCTTCTTTGTTTGGTTTATTTTTAAGGGGTGTTTAATCCCGCGTTACAAGCCCTAATATGTATGTAACAAAATCATTCGCAATACCATGAACGAGCGACTAATGAGAAAACGTATTAATATCAATAAGTATCGAGATTATTGTGAAAACAAACATATACAAAACAGGGGAGAATTGTTCCTTAGTGTATGCTTTCATGTCTGCGGTAACACCGGCTTTTAAATACATGTTTGTAATAAATCGCCATTCAAGGTCAAAACTGAAAATCACAAATACTGTAGCCTCAGGCTGCTGAATCAGAAATATTTATAGCTGGTGTTGTAGTTTCACTGCACACAGCGTAAAACTATATCAATGCAACTCCCATGGGGGGGTGGGGGGCACTCCGGATTTCAAGTTCCGATTCAAGTGATGGGGGCTGGTCGTATCGGATAGTTTTGATTACAAGAGAATGCGTGACAAATACAATGATCCTAATAACTTCAATATCAAAATAGAATCTACAAACCACTCTTATTACTGTTATTTCTTTTCGGCAAATACCGGGTTATGGCATAGATTCGCGATTCGGAATTGGCGGTTACGTTAAAAGAGAACAAAGAAAAATGCTTTTTAGTTTTTAGAGACATCGTGTTTGCGATGAAACCCCGGGGGGGGGGCACTTGGGTATTTTTTGGGTGGGTATGTGCCGCCCGGGGCTCCAAATTGGCACCCCGTTCTAAAAAAAATTCCCCTAAAATTGATACCCCGTTCTAGAAATGGGCCAATTTTTTATACTCCGTTCTAGAAAGTTCGTAAATTGAAATAGCCCTGTTTTTGTAAAAAGATATTTCCAGGGGGGGCTAGCAACGGCCTTTGATCTTGCCGCTTTTCGGCTTTCCATGATCGCCCCAGTTAAGAAATCTGTCAATCATTCGAGAACTGTAGCGAGCATGCGCGAAACGGGCTGGGAACAACAACAACAACACCAAGGAGTTCGTCTTCGCAGCGATTCGACAGTGTGAAGTGAATTCGCTTTTGGTCCCGTTGGCCATTGCTTTCTTTGCTGTAACCGATTTTTTCCGCAGTAATGTGAAGCTTACGTTTTCCTTTCTTCTGGTCCTGCGTTTGTCATTACATGCGGTTTACTACGCTAAGAACGAGTCCAGTGAACAGTCATTGTACATGTTCCTCGATGCCCGACCTTTTGGCTCACTACAGGCTTTCAAGCTGTGTTTCTGTTTAGAAGACCCACAAGACTAGAAGAAGGGCCAACTCTCCAATGCGTATGTAGAAGAGTTTATATTTTCAAGTGAAAGGCCGAAAATTAATCCTTCGTGATATTAAAAAAAAGCGCGGTGGCCGTGGTCAAGTAGAAGAGTTGTCAGAGTTGTTTACGGTTTTATTACACCTTTAAGACGAAAAGATTCTTAATTCTTGATCCTTGATTGTGAACTTATCCTGGCAGAGTTGCGTGGGATGATTGAGTGGCATATGGTCATATCTCGTAGTTCATGTATTTTGTTATGTACTAAAAGCTAAATAAATTTTGCCAAGAGATCATTCACTCTTGATATGCTTAAGTTCTTATCTTCGTGTGATTTTATTTAAACTTTACCGTAGTTTCTAACAAATGAATATAGGCAAATGAGAGGGTAATTATTTTGTGTGTTTGGAATTCTCTTTTCATGACAGCAGTTACTACACTGCCTTCAGTTTGAGTCCTCGTTCAACTGTTTTTTGTTTTGTTGCAAACAAAGAGGGAGAAATTATAATTATTTTATTCCAAAATCTACACTACCTACTAGAACAAGAGTATGGTTTAAAAAAGATTAGCTAAGGTCAGAAAATAAATGTTCAAGTTTGCATGTTTCGACAAGGACTACATCTGGCTAAATATGCTTCAAAGGGAATTTATAAAATTAAAAAAATGGTGACATTTCTATGTTTGCCTTTCCTTTGGCCACTGAGATCAGTTTTTGCCATATAGTTGCATGTAATGTTTTACACCCTTGGACATCAACCTGCCAGGTTAGTTTGTGTCTGTGTAAAAATGTAGTTTACTGTTAATGAAATCAAAATAAACCCTCTCAACTTAAAAATTGCCTTGTACTAGTGGATATTGAAAACAGCATAGGATGCCTTGGAAAAAAAATGTAAAATGATTATTAAGATAATATTATTTGCAGTCAACAATAACAGTTAGAAACTTGTGTTGAGGCTGGCAAAAATATTTTTCAGAGACCATAAACCTTCACTGACTTTGCTGTTACAACAAGTGGTAAAAGGGAATTAAAATGTGAGATCACCTCCCTGGGCTTACAGTGAAAGAGAGTATGGGTAGTAGGACACATTGTGCATCTCCCTACCCTTTTTAAGCCAAGAGACCTTATTTTATAATCCTGATTCATTTCCTTTAACATACAGAATTAAGGTAGCTTTTAACCTTAGAAACATGGCAAAACTTGGGGGGCAGCGGGGATGGTGGTACCAATAGACTGTACTCTATAGATCGCTTCTTCTTCAACCTTCACAACCCAAACAGACACCTTGGTCACCACCCTAAATCAGCAGCACATACCCATCTAGGCCAAATAAGCCAAGGGTAGTATAGTAGGAAGAACTGCTGAGAGGATAGGGCTCAAGCCCGAAAATAACTTCTTTTGATGGTTGATAAAAAATCAATTTTACCTTGTATAATTTAATTGTAGGTAAATCAGATTCATAACTTACACAAACAATAAACTTAAGTTGTATCAGTTTTCAAGCCTCTTCTGATTCTCTTTATAAACTTTGCAAAACATTCAGTTTTCTTTTTTCTGTTTCTTTTACTTCAGACCTTTGAGGGATTTTCTCAACGCATACTCTTTCCTGATGTACTCACTCTTATTAGCAACTGAATTAGCCTCTTGTTCTTACACTAAACCACTATAATCATTTCAAGTATAATTCATAACTAAAGGGTAATTTTTGTATCAACAATTTCAAGGAAATACTTGAAACCGAAGTCACTATCTAATACAAAACTACTAAATACGGTATTGCTGTTGGAAATTTATTGATTATCACTCCAATGACATTCCAGTGAAGGTTTTGAAGGTTCAGTAGACCCCTCCCAGCCTTCTGATATTAAAAATAGCTTATACTGACAGACCCAGTATATGTGAAGCAAAGTGAGTGGAACATTTACCCTGGTTTTTACTAAATTGGCCGTGTATTCTGTATTTACGCCCATAAATATTTGTTGTGCCTCACGGTGTACACAAACAAACTTACGAACAGCGAAGTAGAAAATCAGTGGTTTAATGAACATTCGCATATGACTGTTGCAAGACTCATACCAATACATTGTGCTCGTAGCAAATGTTTAAGATAAGGAAGAGAGCCTTAAAACCACTGTACGTAAGTGGAAAAATATAAGAGAAGGAGCAAGATGGTCGCTCGAAAATTCACGAAGCGTAAAAATAACTGAACTTGCCGAGATACCGAATCACGTTAAGTGAAGTCACCCATGAACTGTTCATACATCACGCCTCCTGATGTCCAAAAGGTCCATTAAAAAAGTTCATAGAAACCTTTTCTTGATATTTGTACGCGGGAAAACTTAAAACCGAGCAAAAACTCATCGTCCTTCCATGTCTGCATTCTCCGCCATATTTGTTTTCAAGGAAAATTTGTACTCAGTCTCACTCGGCCGAATTTCTTAACTGGGGCAATCATGTAAACTAGGTTCCAGACCTCGCTGCCAGCCCCCCCTGGATATTTCTTTATTTGTTCGACTTATACATCAAATAATTAAATGCTTCTTCATAATCAGCAACAATTTTAAGCAGAAGATAAAGCCGTGATCCACAATTTTTTATACCCCGTTCTAATTCAGGAGCTTCAAAATCACGACCCCGTTGGGCGGCACATACCCGTATAGGTAATGTATGGGAGTACCCCCCCCCCCGGGGGGGGAGGTGAAACTAAGTGAGAGTGAATCGTGAATAAAACTAGTTACATCCAACTACTGTACTTGTGACTTGTGGACAAAACGGTTATTGGGAGGCAAAACATTCCCCATAACCGAAGCATTTTTTTTTGGTTTTGAATTCTGGCCCCATTCATTCATCTCCGTCACTTGGAATCAATACAATATATATCCCCATACATCAAGTACCTACCTCGGCGTCTAAGGACACCGCTGACTAGTTAATTAGGGAACGCAGCAGTGCCCTCCTCATTACTATATGTGTGATGTCGCTGACAGCTTTTGAGTTGCCAGGACAAAATGCAAATAAAAAATGTAACGATGAATGTTATGCAGACTTTTGTGGAAAATATTTCATAGACAGGTGAATGTTCAAAATCAATAATTAATATTGCCTCATTCGAATTAGCTTCTGTTTGTTTTGGTTGTCAGGGGGAATCATGTGTTGAGCCTGGAGGACCTTTCGACTTCTCGACATCAAGCAAATTGAGCTTTTTACTGTTTGAACATTACGGTCGTTACGGAAACCGTTTCGGTTTTACAGTGTTGAAGATATGCAAATCCTCAGAAATCCTGCTCGGAAACAGCTTTTCCTACAGTCGACTTGTTATGTTCTAGAAGTGTTAACTTCTTACAAGTTCTAAAATGACATCTTCCATGACCGGCGGCAGCTCGAGCGTAACGTCTGGTCGCCGAGATCGCAGAACCTCGAGTTCGTCCGATGTGATGGCGTCCATGACTGCATCAAGGGCTGCTGCAACGTATTTCGACAAGATTGAACGCTACGAACTTCAAGAGACTCTTGCTTACACCTCTAGTGACTGGCTACTTTCGACCGAAGACACACGGATTTCTGTAGAACCTCCGCGAGGACTGATTGCTGGGATTCAAATTCCCAGTGATTTCAACAACTGTTTGCTTTTAATCCCAGAGGAGGAAGGTATCGAGCCCTTAGAGTTGCGAGAAATGCATCAAATTGTTCGTGAACTGGTTATCGGGATCTACATTTTGAATCAAACTCCCTCAATCAGTTTGGAAGCTAATTATGACTGCAGTACGTCTTGCCAGATTCCCCCCGCTTACTTCGATACAAGAATTGGCCAGATACTTTCCGATGTAGATTACATGATGAAAAGTTTATGGCACGGGGCTTACTTTCCAAAGGATAAAAGAACAAAATTCGCAGAACGATGGAGGCAAGCTGTGAATTTAAACACAACAACTGGAGAACCTGAAACACGACGTAGTTTACAGCTTGTGTGGACAGAGGCGGGTATCTCAGACCTTGCTAAAGATCCCGAGCTTACTGCGGCTTATGAGGCCTTGCCTTTGGAAAATAAGGATGATCCAGTTGCTATTGAGGAAAGGAGGCACTTCCTGAAGCATGTTGATGAACTAGCATTGAAATTAACTTTGTTTCAAAATTCTGTCAATCAACACCAAAACATGTTCTTGATTGACGCTAATTATCACATCTCAAGTGTTGTGAGATCAGACAAAATTGATCTTCCTGGTTATGTAAAGCTACAGCGAAGGCTGGGTGTCCATCAGGAGTTTATCAGGAAAACTCTACCATTAAAGCCAGAAGTGAAACGACAGCTTTGTCTCCTCAAGTTTATAAGCTTCATGGTGCCTTTTCTGATTGCAATCAAAAAGCGTTGTAAAGTTCCAGACATTAATAAACTCCTTCCTGCATTTACATTTGAGGAGTGTAAAACTGAACGTGAGTTTCCACCACTCATCTTACGACCAGAGTTTAAGTGCAAGCATTTTGATCATTCAGAGAAATACTTTCATCTTCATGGAGGAATTTCAATTGAACGCAAAACTACCCCTGCTCAAAAGATCCCCTCAGAAATTGTAACAGAGCGGGAAAACCTGGAATACATAGCCTCTGAAGCTTGCAACAAAATCATGAGTTCTGACACTGTCATGTTGGAGAGTTATCCCATGACAGCAGTTGAAATCGAAAGCAAGAGTTATTTTGTCCTGAACATTCATCTCGAGACATATTACCCAGTGTCACCAAAACACCCTTTATGGATACATGCTCATTATGATGAAATCATGAAATTGAAACCTAAAAGGCTTCCTGTGCATGAGTTACAAATTCATGAACAGTTTAAGAAGAGGTACGGTTACCAAAGAACAGTCAAACTCAAGCAGATCCCTGCTGGGCTCCAAGCTAGTGCACAGAGGGGCCTTGTTTCGATTTTTCACACTATGACGAGGAGATTGCCACCATCCCGTCTAACAACGCAAGATTCATCAGGTCTGTCACTTATCCATCATGCCGCCATATTTAACAGGCCTCAGATTATTACAATGCTGGTGGTGATGGGATTTGATGTAAATGTTCGACGCTATAACAACATTTCATCCCAAGGTGTAAGTCCACTTCACCTGGCAGCAAGATGTGGTGCACTAGACAGCTTGATTTGCTTGGTCACATACAAAGCTGATGTTATGATGTATGACAGCCAGGGATGGGTGTCGGTTCATTATGCTGCCTTTTTTAACCATGTTGATTGCCTTTTGCATTTGATACACCACGAACCCAAATTACTTGAGCTTAAGTCAAAAGATGCCTTGGAATCAACACCAATTCTTTTAGCAGCCTCCAGTGGTGCTCTTGATGCAGTCAAGTGTCTAATTGAACTTGGTTCACAGTACACATCAGTAGATAAGGAAGGAAATGGAGCAGTTCACCTTGCTGCTCTTCATTTTCACACCAATACACTAGAGTACTTCATCAGTTGGAACAATAGTGAAGTTCCTGTCTGGGATCTGTTAGTTGGTATGTTGAAGTCAGATGACACCAAGAGAAAGCACAGTGCAGTCAGATGTCTTGAAGTTTTGTCCCTTGCTGCAGAAAACAACTGGAAATGTATCCTACTTGCAGGAGGAGTCCCTGCGCTTGTAGATCTACTCAGACTTGAAAATGTTGAGCTTCAGTCACTTGCAGCATCTGTTTTGTGCAACATTGGCAGTCATGGTGAAGTAAGAGCTGAAGTATCAAAAGCAAATGCCACTCCTGTAGTTGTCAGCTTGTTAGATTCACCAGTACCTATGATCCATTCCCGTGCAGCAGTTATACTTGGTGACTTGGCTTGTTTGGATGTGAATCAGGAAAAGATTGCAGAAGAAGGTACTGTGGGCAATATTCAGCTTTATTAAGTTACCTTTTTGAATACTTTGGAATACTTTGTTTCTGTTTTTGAGCGGTACAGGGGTGTTAAGAATATGGTGGTACCCTCTTGCGTTTTTTTTAGTTCCCATGCATTAATATTTTATGCCTGAAAAACATTTTGTCCCTTTAGGAGGAATAGAGCCACTGGTAAGATTGTTGGACTCCAAGCTTGAGCATGTGTTGGTCAACTGTGTCAATGCTCTCAGGGTTTTGTGTGATGGTAACCATAGCAACCAGACAGCTGTGGCTCAGATTGGTGCTGTTGCTATTCTCACTGAACTTTTAAGTAAGTTATTTTAAAACTTAAGTTAAAAATAGTTTTTTTACTGGCTCTCATTTCCTGGTAAATCTCTGGTAACAATTTTTGGCTGAAATATCAGGACAACTTCTTCAAGTTGTAACTTAGATTATGAGAAAAAGAAGTATAGATAGGTCATAATGAAAATGGTTTAAAATAGATTTTTTTATGCAAGTTTTGCACCCAATTATCAATTCGAAACTTGAACATCCCCCCTCCCCCCAAGCAAACCCATTGCATTGAAGTAATGTAACGGCAATGTAAACAGGCCTGTTTTAAAAGGTTTCAAAAGATGCGTGAGGGGTTCCTGGGGAATTTTGCAGTTATGAATTGATCAATTGATCATCACATTATTCCTTTAAGTCCCAAGAGTGGCCCACAGCAATTTTCTCAGGACTAACAATCATTATCAAGAGATTAGTTAAAGATCACACAAGGAAAAACTGCTTTAATCTTCCAACAAATTTTCTCATCTAATGCTTTGAGTAAATGTATGGAAAGCAGTCTGGAGAATTTGTATGTGGATATTGGGGCTTAAAGGGAAGGGAAGTATTTATAAATGAAATAAGTACTAGCGATCTCTGTGTGAGTAATACTGACTATCCTGATCAGCTGTGTTCTCTATTCGATAATACTCTTTGCTCTCTACTTGATCATCATGCTCCTGTTATACGTCAGAGAATTACTGTTTGACCAAGAGGTCCATGGATGACTGATACTTGGTAGCTAAAGAACAATGGAGGAAAGCTGAAAAGACATGGAGAACTTCCAGATCACACACCAATTTATTAGGTTTTCGTTCTGCAAGGAATTATTTAACCTTTGTTATGAACAAGGCTCACTGTGATTACTACACAAACTTTGTTAATGTGAACAGTGTGAACCAAAGGAGATTATTCAATGCAAGCAAATCACTTTTGAATATATCAAGATCTGCTAGCCTACCTTTATCTGCCAATGATCATCAGCTAGCTAACAATTTTGGTGCATCGTTTACCAAGAAACGAAAATGCCATTATTTCAGCAATACTAATGGTACCGTTACCAATTCCACTTTTTCTGAATTCAACCTTCTCTCCGAATCTGAAGTATATGGCCTCATTACATTATTATCAAAGACATCTTGTCCTCTTGATCCCATATCCCAACCAAACTTGTTTTTGAATGCCTTGATGTGCTACCGCCTCCGATCACTAGAGTAATAACCTTTCTCTTGATTCTGGATACTTTCCTTGTGCTTGGAAGCATACTTTGGTATGGGCATAGTTAAAGAAAGATGGTTTAGATCTCCTCTTTAAAAATTACAGTCCTGTGAGTAATTTTGTGTATGTTTTAAAACTTGTAGGGACTGCAGTTGCTAAGCAACTACAACATTATCTGTTTAGCAATGATCTGCTTCCAGCATCACAATCAGCATATCATCCCAATCACTGCACAGAGACTTCTTTGTTGAGAGTCACAAGTGACGTTCTTCTTAATACGAACAATCAATGTGTTACTTTGCTTCTACTACTAGACTTGAGCACCCCTTTTGATACCGTGATTATGATACTCTATTGCATGGAGCTCCAGTTTTCATTTTGTATCCAAGGAAAAGTTCTCTTTTGGTTTAAGTCATATTTGTCTTGAAGATCTCAGCAAGTATTGAGCAATGACATATTCTCTGATGAGTTCTCTTTATGCTGTATACAAGTAAGCTTTTTGAGATTGTTAAAACCCATCTTCCTGAAGTTCATTGTTATGCACTCTCAGATATTACACAGGTTTTCATTTCATTTAGCCCTAATCTTATCTGTCAGACCGGCTTTCAGCCTTAAAAAGAATGGAAAATTGCATATCAGATGTTTGTGGATGTTGAATGACAATCTCAAATTGAATGACGACAAAACTGAATTTCTCATTATAATTTGGCACACCAGAACAGCTGGAAAAGGTGGACATCATGAGTATCTGCGTGGGTAGCTCTGACATTCATCCTGTTCCCACTGCAAGTAATCTAAGTTTCTGGTTTGATTCTAGGCTGTCCATGTGAAAGCATATTACAAAGATCTAGCCTACAACATACAACACATCAGGAATTATCTGTCACAAAAATCAACCGAGACACTTATTCATGTTTTCATATCCAGTTGTCTTGACTACTGCAACGGCTTATTGTATGGCCTGCTTTATTCGTCACTACATAAGCTACAGCACGTACAACACAAATGCTTGTGCATTTTTAATGAACACAAATTTTTTCACATAATTCCTGGCCTTATAATGGAGTTGCACTGGTTACCAATTAAATGTAGATTAGAGTTCAAAACTTTTTTGATTACTTTTAAGATTCTTCATGTTTTAGCTCCATCTTTTTTATCATCTCTTATTTCTCTTAGGCCTCCATCAAGATATAATCTCAGGATCTCAAATGAGAATCTTTTACTTAGTTATCCCAGTATCTTATGCAAAGCAGCACTTGGTGATAGGTCCTTCACTTGCGCTGCTCCAAGGCTCTGGAACTCTTTGCTATTTGATGTCAGATGCACCAAATCTGTTGATGTTTTTAAAGGAAAGCTTAAAACAAGCCTATTTAGTTCAGCATGTTTATTATCATAACTTAAAGTATGTAACATTTGATCATTGTAATATTTTATTGTGCATTTTTAAATTTAAGCTGCTATTTTTGTCTATTTAAATTTTGGATCTTACTTTCTAACTGACTGTCATGCGCACTATAAAACCCAATGTATTATTATTATTATTATTATTATCATTATTATTATTATCATTATTATCTCTATTATCACAGTCTTTGCTGGTGTTCTTTTTGTGCATCAGCCGGGCGCAAACCATGCACCTAGAGCATCAGTCACTCAAGTCAATCATTCTGTTCATACACTGAGCACCTTTCTGAGGATTCGTGCAGATCCCAGCATGCAGATCTTTTGAATCTCTGTCATATTAGCTCTTTCTGATACTTTCTTGATGTTTTCTACCATACCATTCTTCACTGTACCAAGCGCACCAACAACCACAGAGATCACTACAGTTTTCATATGCCACATTCTCTGTATTTCTAGTTCCAGATCTTTGTACTTGCATTTTTTTTCAGTTTCCTTCAGTGCGATGTTTCTATCTGATGGAACAGTCATATCAATAAGTTTGCAGGTGGAATTCACTGAATCTTTAACGATGATATCTGGTCTGTTCGCTGTTATAGTTCTATCAGTGTTGACTGGCATGTCCCACATAATGGTGATGTTGTTATCTTTATTGTGTATCACGGTCTCTGGTTCGTGTTCGTACCATTTGTCTGTAATCTCTATATCATGATCTTTACATATGCTCCAATGGAGATATGCTGCAGCATTATTGTGCCTGGAGATGTACTCTGTTTTGGCTAATACCTCACATCCAGATACAATATAGTCCACTGTCTCTTCATGTTGCGAACACAATCTGCATTTGCTCTCCACTTGCTGGCCATATATTACTTTCTGGTAGTTTCTGGTGTTTATTGCCTGGTCTTGAGCTGCAACAAGTAGTCCCTCTGTTTCTCCTTTCAAATTACTTGACAACCATTTGTTGGTGGTGACTGTGTCTACATGAGGCTTCTCTAGGATCTTTGGATACTGGCCATGCAATGCTTTGTTTTTCCACTTTTCTTCTTTCATTGACTTCATCCTGGACTTAAACACGTGTTTCAGGGCTTTAGCATTTTCAGAGGCAGATTTATCTTCTCTGTTCTCAATCTCTGACATTGTTATACTTCCCTTTTGAATTTAGTAGAATTCTTGGATATTGAATTTTTGGCTTTAGATCTTTCATGTTCAAGCACCTGCTTTGGATATTGCCCTTCCTTGTGCTTCAGATAGTGATCAAGCCCTATTGTTGCAGTTTTGAATGCTGTTTCTACATCAATCAGGCCCCTACCTCCATCTTTTCTTGGGATGTACAGCCTTTCCACATCTGCTTTAGGATGTAACATCTTGTGCATGTGTGTTTTTGTGTCAATCTTCTTCAGTTCTGAGATTTTCCAGTCAATGATGCCAAAGCTTAATATTGCACAACTGGGACTGCAAGACTATTGATAGCTTCTATTTTGTTTCTTCCATTGAGCTCAGTTCTTAGGATTAATCTTACTCTCCTATTATATTCTTTTCTTATCTTTTCTTTCATTTTGCTATTATGCTGGATACCATCACTTTCATCTACACCCAGGTATTTGTATACTCCTTCCTGGTCCAACTCTTTTATTTCTGTGTCATCATCTATTATTATGTTTCCAGTTGAGGCCAGTTTACCTTTCATGAAACTGGCTTTGGCATATTTCTCAAGTCCAAATTCCATACCAATATCATGACTGAATTGTTTCACTATTTTCAGTTCTCCAACTTGTTCTTGCTTGTTCTTGCTATACAATTTTAGATCATCCATATAAAACAGATTGCTTATTGGAGCACTTGTGTTTAAGATCTTGTAACCATACCCAGATGTAGCCAGCTCTGATGTTAAAGGCACAAGGGCTAGGCAAAATAGCAGAGGTGAGAATGAATCTCCTTGAAAGATCCCTCTTTTGATCTTGATTTGATCTGTTGTGATACATCCATCATTGTAAGATAGCTTCATCGTAGTTTTCCAGTTGCTCATTGAGGTTCTCATGAACTTGATTAGTTTTTCATTAAATCTGTAAATCTGTAAGGTCTTCAGTATCCAGCTGTGAGGAACACTATCATAGGCTTTTCTGTAGTCTATCCAAGTCATACTCAAGTTCTTTTTCTTCTTTTTGCAGTCCTCTATGATCATTTTATTTATTAGGAGCTGATCTTTGCATCCATATGAACCCCTGACACAACCTCTCTGTTCTTCCGGCAATATATCATTCTTTGTGATATAGGTGTAGCTTCTTTCAGTTAAAATCGATGTGAGCACCTTGTAGGATGTTGATAAACAGGCAATTGGTCTATAGTTTTTGGGGTTCTCTGTGCCTTTGTTCTTTGGTAGTAAATATGTTTGTGCTGTAGTGAACCAATCAGCAGACTGGGTTTTCTATTGCTTGGTTATATGCATTCAGTAGGTGTTGATTTAGTGATGTGAGTTGCTTTAGCCAGAAGTTAGGAACTGCATCAGGGCCGGGTGACTTCCAGTTGCTTGCTTTCTTTAAAACAGTCTGCAACTCATCTTGGCTTATGTCCTCCCATGGTTGGCATTCTGTATCAGCATATTTCTGCTCCTCCCTCTTTATCCACTCTGCTGAATGGTTGTGCTCTCTATCGTTCTCCAAGATGTTACGCCAAAATGTTTCTGTTGCTTCTTTCTTAGGTGGTTTTATTATTATTATTATTATTATTATTATTATTATTAAAGGGTTAACTTGGAAAAGTTTTATGGCAATGATTATTCATTTTGTCAATAAAAGTCATTTTATCTTAAGTTGCTAGTTTTAAGTTTACATGAGGAACATCAGATTGTAATAAGGTATACCCTTGGCTATTAAATCCTAGGTGCCAAATCAAAGAATCTGCAAGCCAATACTGCCGCTTGCCTCAGCTCTTTAGCCAAGAACCATCGTGAAAACCAAGACTTGATTGTAGCAACAGGAGCTGTCAAACCTTTGGTGGTATTAGCAAAGAGCACCAAAACGTTATGCCAAGTGAAGGCTGCAAGTGCTCTGGAGTCTCTTGCTTCAAATAACCCTGAAGCACAGAAAGAGATTGACACAGCTGATGCACAACGTCCTCTGATAAGACTTCTTAAAATGTGGGCCATTGAAGTGAAGGAACAAGGTATGTTGTAATCTCCAGGTCATTAGTCTAATAGCTATAGTCGAACACTGTTGAAAGAATTCACAACTGAAGATAATGCCAGTAACCAAAACTCATGCATGTAAAAATTACTTAGCTATACATTGGCAAATAAAGAAACGATAAGTAATTTAGTATTTTGATACCTAAAGTTGCATTCAAATTATTAAGGTTATTAATGCTCAGTGGAAAGTAACAGGCCATTTTTTGCAGCCAGTAATTCACAGGGTACAAAACTGCCTTGTTGGAGAGTGAGGGAAGCACTGGAACAAGATGAACAAAAGGTTTAAAATGTCATTTTAATTGGTAATGAATTCCTTTGATTGTCTTGTCCCAGTGCATTTCTTGCTCTACAGCATGGTGGTAATTGTACTATGTGAATGACTAGTTGCCAAAGGCCTACATATGTATCTCGTGATGCCTGTTTGGATTCGAATGCATTTTCACTTGAATCACAATAGGGATTCTAAATGCCAAGGTCTTGTCTCAATGCCGCACTCGGTGATAGGTCCTTCACTTGCGCTGCTCCAAGGCTCTGGAACTCTTTGCTATTTGATGTCAGATGCACCAAATCTGTTGATGTTTTTAAAGTAAAGGTTAAAACACACCTATTTAGTTCAGCATGTTTATTATAATAACTTAAAGTATGTAGCATTTGATCATTGTAATATTTTGCGTCAGGGAATTACTGTTTGACCAAGAGGTCCATGGATAACTGATACCTGGTAGCTAAAGAACAATGGAGGGGCACCCAACGCCAATTTTCGGAAAATATCTGTTCGGAAGACGATTTGATATCTAGAATTTTTGGAACATTTGTTGTAAAATTTCTTGCTTGCAGCTTCTCCTAGAATTTCCGAACAACAAAAAAATGGTATAATTGCCCATTTTTAACGGCTTTTGACCCTTAAAAGGTCACCTAGAATTTTCGGGAGCCATTTTTCTGGCTAAAATTTTCGAAAAGGTACATGTAAGTTTTGATACCTATAATTTTCGGATCACTAGACTTTCAGCTAGGAAATCCGAACAAATGAAAAATTTTTCGGAGATAAAAATATGCCTATATCTACCGTTTAAATACTAAAAAACGTTTAACAGTGCTATGTTTAAGTGGTTTTGAACTATATTCTCGATGGGTGCCCCTGCAAGGTGTCCAAGAGCATGGTGTGAATTTGCTGTGGCCTCAAATAAGGAGGAAAAAATAATCAGATTTTTCTTGAATAGATTTGGGAAGGCTTGATTCTAATTGATGCTTTCACAATCCTTTTAAAAACAGTAAAAGTGCTTTAATGTGTACATACACATATTTGCCAGTGTTGATAATAAAGTTCCAGTAATAGAGTCATAAAAATTAAATTTTTGAAATTATGGGATTTGTTGGGATATTTTGAAAGAACAACATCCAAAAGGCGTACTTGCCACAAGTTAGCATTCCAGAGCAAATTGTCTCGGAGACACTAGTCCCGTTTTGCCCATATGACTCCATAAAAAGCCTTCTAAATAGGCGAGTTTCGTATTCCCGGGTGGCCTAGGACAAGTGTTTTTTTGCGCGAAAGCGAGGCTAATGCGGGTCACTTGTCACCAAAAAGACAAGCAAACCTGAGAAAACTGCGGCTGAGTTGCCGAAAAAAAGGAAAATTTGAAACGTTGAACGGTTTTGGAGGTCTCTAAACTTACTTACATTGTTTCAAACAGCAAAGGGAAAATTAGCTCGTCATCACTAAGAAAATCAATAAGCCTAACCAGAAATTGGCCGAAATAGTAATCGGTGGGTGAGTGCAATGAAAATGCGAAGATGGTTTCAAATCCTTAAACAAGGTTATACCCTGAAGCCATTTTAATGTTATATTCAGTGATGGTTAAAACTACTTTAAACCTACCTTCCATTGGAGTGTACTTGCTTGTCGAAAGCCTGCAATTGAAACTAAAACTTTCTTTTTAGTTGACATTTTTTCTAACGGAGCGAATGCAAAATCTTGTGTATTTGATAAAAAATAAACCGACGGGGCAGACTTTCTGCATAAATTCCTTGCTCTGTAAGGACGCTAAATCGATTTAAACGAAGATGACTAAAATAGCATGAGCTTATTTATACATAATTTACATTTAGCGTGTATAATTTATAAAAATATTCAGTCACATAAAGAAAAACGTACGCACATTTCACTCGACAAGAACTTAAACACAGAATTTTATACAGACGATATACTGAGCCATGTAAACTCCATTTTGCAGATATACACACGGGGAAAAGTAGAGTACTAACAAATAAGATGATTAAAGGGAGTAAAAGATTGTCATTTTAACATACTTTACCCTTTTCAAGCTTAAAAATTTTACTTCTTCTTTCGTCTTTGCCACTTTTTTCCTTTGTTCTGTATAGTACGAACAGCTTTTTCCACAATTTTGTTGTTTGCAACAGATATCCTTTTGGCTTACTGGTAAAGTTTAAGCTTTGAGATCTTACTATATTAAAGATTTCTATCGTTTTCCAGCGTATCAGCGGCAAATTACCTATCTTTGTTTTTGTTTTTGCAAAGAAGTTGACCCTCATTCCCTCTTTATCCTCGAAATCGTGCTCGTTCCAGGGCTGTCGGGAAATATGAAACTTTGAAGGATTTGTATGGAGTCATCAGAGCATAACTAGGCAAATATATCAAAGACCATTCTGGAATGCTGATTTTTGGCAAGTAGGGATTTTGAATATTATTCTTTCATAATACCCCCAAAAATCCCGTAATTTCACAAATTTAATTATTTTATGACGTCACATTTTAGGACTCTATAATGTGTGTTTTTCTTTTCTATTTTAGGTGCCAGTGCCTTGTGGGCACTAGCAGGTGTCACTCGACATCAACAGCAACGGATCGCCAGCATGATTGGCATTAACATCCTTGTCGATATGCTCATGCTAAAATCAGAGACATTGCAGTACATTGCGGGAATGGCCATCATTGCTCTGACTATGGAAAACATCGAAAACCAGGATAAGATAGTTGCTGGAGGTGGAGTTCAGCCACTTGTAAGACTCCTGAGATCTCCTAAAACATCTGAAAAGGTAGTGGATATTCTTACAACACATTTAAGTGGATATTCATGCAACACTTTTCCCGAACATTATGAAGGATGTCTAGGAGATCTTTTATTTTTCAAATCCTTCGTTTTGCGTTAAGGTGGCTCGATACAGTTTTTTCAGGGTCAGTACCTCCCAAATTTGAGCATAAACTAAGTCGCCATAAAGAGAGATTTGGAAAAATTGACGCCACAGTTGTATTAAATAAAGATATAAATTTGCTGTGATCAGGGTTGCAATGACATCGGAGTTCTCATAGCAACGAAATGACGCCATTACCTAATTTACTTCCAGCAGTATTTCTCGGCACTGGGAACTCTTCTTCCTAAATCGTTTACTGGAGCTTTTTTCTCCAATAGCCGCCTCGATGTTCGTGAAGTTTAAGCAAAATCTGTAAGAGCGTTATCGAGATATTTTGTGAAGAAGCTTTTATGGTTAGAAATACGTTAAAAAATGGACAATCTTGATGTTTGACGGTTATCTGTACTAAACGAAGCGCTTTTGACATGCAATTTCACCTGATAGTAGTTTCAATCTTCTCGAAAGCGTGTGTGAAAGATCATGGAGATGCCTCCAGCCGATTGCTAGAAAAAAGGATTTGATTAGTGTGTATCGGGGCGCTCTTGTTAGCGGTAATATAAACATTTCGGTCTACTTTTAACAATCAGCGAATAATTTTTAAACCGGTCGATAGATTTTCTAATAAATTTAAGAATCTTCAGATTAACCGTCCTTTTATATGACCTCTTAGTTTCAAGATTATTGATATATTGGAAGGTAGTAAAATAAGGATTACAATTCGCTAATATTTTGTAAGAAATTTTGTCTTTACAAGTGAGAGCCTATTATTATTCAGGGCCATTGTCTCAAAGTTTCATTTTCACGTGAACAGCAGTAGCTAACAATGCATTTGACATATGAAAAATGCTAGCTATTGTTGTGCACGAAAATATAAAACTTGGAGACAATACCCCTGAATAATGAGAGGCTCTCACTTGTAAACACAAAATTTCTGACAAAATATTAGCGAATTGTAGCCCTTATTTTACTGCCTCACAATATAGCAATAATCTTGAAACTAAGAGGTCATATAAAAGGACGGTTAATCTGACCCGGAAAAACTGTATCGAGCCACCTTAAATGTGTTTGTCTCGTACATCTGCTTCCGTTGTAAGGTACTGTACGAGTCCAAATCCTTCCTAGTCTTTACAATGATGTAAATTTCTCACTGATATAGTGATATATAGATTTAGCCAAGGCTAAAAGCGAAGCGTCCATTTTTATACTTAAAACTACTTAAACTGACCCAAAAAAATAGAACGAACAAGCTTCAAACTATGAAAATCCAGAAATTTATACTTTTGATTTTAAAACAAAAAAAGAAAGTTATAAATCAATTAATTCGATCACATTAATAGTCTTGGAAAAGACTTCTCACCCATACGTGTGCATCACTAACCCCTCCAACAGAGAGTTTATTTTATTCTCGGGCATTTTGTGATAATGATGATTTGGTCTGTTGATCATCAGGTTCTGCTTATGGTGATCCGTGTTCTTGGTATTCTGTGTGTTGGCGTGGCACATCAATCCAACAAGTCCACACAACTTGAAATAACAAACGCTGAAGCGCTTGTTACTCTTGTTCATCTTCTACGTTCCTCCAAGAAGCCGTTAATTCAGGTTTGTTATTATATCTTCTAACTCTTCCATTAAAAGCTAAAAAATAGAAAGATATTCTATTAAGAGGTGCGTGCGCGTTTCCGAAGAGATATTTATGAGTGCTCGGCAATACTAGTCGAACTGCGTTGCATCAAATTGTTGTTATGAAGGTGTACTTTTATTTCTTTTTCGTTGTTAAGGCCGTGTTTTATCCTAAAATCATCATCATGTTGTAACTGTGTGGCGCTGTCGAAAGTTTCTCGTCCTTCAGTCGAGAGAGAGACAACCGAAGGGCCCCCTTGTAACCGCAAACTGCCAAGTTCGTTTCTGGTTGCTCATCGGATGTGAAAGTCAAGGTAGCCGCCGTTGACGTTTTTCAGTTTCATCCATCACACAAAGTGAATAAAACAAGTATTTGAGGATATACGTCGTCGAACATCGAAATTATGTTCAACGTTAAAGCTTGCCTTCTAATAAGTGGCGAAAAACTTTCCCCAAATTACTTAGAAAGACTTCAATTAATCAATGGATTCACTTAAATTAATCAGTGGACTCAAGGGTTTTAACATAGTTTTGACTGATGGTATTCTATATTGATGCAGTATACATTTTATCTGAAAAAAGAAGTTAATAAGAAGATAATCTTTTTCTATTATTCTTCTTCTTCTCCTCTTGTGTTGCTACAGGTGGAAGTTGCCATCACTCTTGGTAAAATAGTCCTGAACAACACGCAAACCCAAAAGCTTCTCGCAGAGCAAACAAAATTCCGGGTCACCGAACTTCTTCATCACCTCGCAAACAAAGAAGAGACCGTCCGGCACAAGGCTGGAATGGCTCTCGCAACGTTTGCTTACAACAACACTTCTCAACAATACGCCATTAAGAACGCTGGTGGAATTGCACTGCAATCATTTGAAGAGTTTCTGGGGTCTGAGAACGAATTGTACCAAGCCCATGCGGCTTTTCAGATCATTGTCTTAGCGCGAGTGATAGACAGTGATCAAGTGAATCTGACTGCACGTGGTGTTGAATTACTAGTGCAGTTGTTACGTTCAGAACAAGACAGTACACAAATTCTTGCTGCTAGTTTGACGGCTAGCCTCGGTCACACGCGGGCTGGTGTTCCTGCGGCACTTATCACCGCAGGTAGGCGAAGCTACTAGTCTTTTTTTTATACCAAGTGACCATGTGCTACGTTTGAAAACGTCCAAACTGTTTTTATCTATCAAAAAGTAAATTTAAGATTATGTTGATCCGAGCAGTATGCAAAACATGAGTGTGGTATTATTGATAGTCGTGCAAGGAGAATTGATACTAGCCTGCCTAGCTGGCGGGATTAGCGTGCGAGGGCTGTATTGTTTGGGCGGCGAGAAGAGTGGGTACAAATCAATTTGAAATCTCGCCTGGGTATTTTAAATAGTCCGCAGCCAGGCGTACGGAAGTTTCAAATTGGCTGAGAGGCGATGAAATGCTAATCAAATGATAACTGATATCTCTACTTTTGTCACGCAATGCAAACTTCCTGATCCATCCGAACTAAACGTCAAAAGGGTGCTTTATCATTTAAAACTGGCGCCTTAGAAAAACAGGTGCAATATACTGTGGACGATTCTTCGTTTTACATGAGCAAATGTTATCTTTGCCGATTGAGGGGTCATGAGGCCCATGTGTTTTCTGTGCATTCCAGCATTGATTTCTTGTGGTTTTTGTCTCTGACAGAATTTGACCTCTGAAGCAGTTTAGGAAATTCTTTGACCCTTTGGAAGCATAAGGCTTTTTATTATATACATACTGAGAAATACTCACCAAAAAGCTATGTCGTAAATTTTCGTACGCAAATTAGTTATAGCCAATCAGAGGAGCGAACGATGGTTTTCACACGTGAAAAAAACGATACGTCCAATCAGAATCGCGAACGATGTTTTTTCACGTGTGAGAAAAATGATACGTCCAATCAGAAGCCACAGAGGTGTGCGAGTTTCGCGCCAAAATTCCCGCCTTTTATTGCAGCTTGCAGCGCCGCTTCGCACACATTTATCAACGAGAAAAGTTTTACTCAAGGAGTTTTTCTCGCTAAAAAAGTGAAAAACATTTCGGAAATGGAGTGGAATAGTTTCGTTTGTTTCACTGTCGATAAAAAAATACGGTAGAGAGCCGGCGAAACAACAGCGGAAAGGGATAAACAGAACGAGACGTAAGCTTTTGTTGTGCTTTTTGTCGGAGCTACTTTGCCTTTCATTTAAGCTTAAGCTTATATTGAAACCGGCCATTTTACTTAAATTCACTCATTTTCAATTGTGCATTGAGAACAAACAGTCAAGATTACTTATAGTTCTTGGATTAAACCTCATATCCTCACCGTCATTTATGTTTTTAACAAACGTTTTTACTAAAAAGCTGATACTTCGTTTTCGTTGTCATTTTGCGGTAAGTGTGTAGCGGCAAATTTTAGCATTTTTGAAAGATTTAAAATAAAAAGGCCCGCAAAATGATGAATGACTCAGTATGTATATAATAAACACAATACCACATGGAAAGTGCTTTGTACGGTATTTACGCACTCGTTGTTTTTGTATCAGAAATCTTACTCGTTCGCTGCGCTCACTCGTTCGATTTCTGATACGTCAACAACTCGTGCGTAAATACCGTACGCCAGCACTTTCCATGAAGTATTCTCTATTTATTGCGGCTAAATGACCGTTTAATAAAGGTTTTAGTTTCTCAAGTTTGGAGTAACCGCAGAATACCCTGTCTGGATGCTGAACAACTTGCAATGATTGTTACGCTTGGCCTGGTTCGTTTGCAGGTCGTTTACACCACTCTTCCTGATTGGGTAATCAAATGGTTCCAACCAAGCGGACAAAAGTGGGCGGCATTCAAAACTCATAAGAAATGTGGCAGGCGGGATTTTCCGTCGCGGCTCCGCCGCCAAGAAAGCACCCCGAACACAAGAATTCCGCCAGCTACGCAGGCTAAATTGATACCATCTCCTGATAAAGATCAGCAGGCGATGAATGTTCAAAATGTGGCTGTCAATAGCAGTGACTATCCTGAGTGTTCGTGTTTTCTTTGCTTTCAGGTTCCGTGGAAGCTCTCCTCGCCAACCTGTCTTCTGCAAATGAGGAAGTCCGAAGCAGTGCTGCCGTTGCCCTGGGTTACCTTTCATTTGACCGAACTGCTTCCCGGTTGATGTTGCAAGCATGTAGAAACACCCCAGGACTGCTAGAATCACTTGTCTGTAACCTTGGCAACGGTAAAATATCCATGGAATTTATGGATGAGTGGAGGCAGACCAAGTTGGTTGGGCTGCCATCTGCCAGGTTAGTCACGTGTTTTTTATTTAACTGTGTTCTTATGCTTTTGTGGACTGACAAAACGTGGGGAGAAGACGAAACAAGAAATTCGCGCCGTTAACAATGCTTCACTATTGATATTATCAAAGGAATTTTTTCCTTGTCTTCAAATTACTAAAAAAGCATATTTAGCGCCTTTCTTTCTTCCGTTCACGACTTGAATCCATCCATTTTTTTGTTACAACATACACCGTTTGCTGTTCATTGCGAGAAAAAACACGCAATCATTTGCGTGAAACGGCGACCAATAGTGCGAAAATTCATTCATTTAACATTTGCGCATCAATATCATATTCAACAAGACGCTGTGGGAGCGTTTACTTAGGCGCCGTTTAATTTCGTGTATTCTAATTTTTGTGTGTGTGCCAGGGATGTTTGAGTAATGCATTAGTGTTATATTTTGGACGTGTTTGGTATGATAACGGCTGTAGCTTATTAATCGTTTTTATTGGTTTGTGGTAGAACTTATATTAAGTAGCATAAAATAGTTTTGTTGGAAGATAAAGTGATTTTAGGTGTTGCAGCGAGATAGTTTTGGTTAAAAAGGGATAGTGTCACTATAGTCTTGTTTA